TTGCTGGAGCTGGTCGTCAGCGGGTCTAAGTCAAAAAGACCAGCTTCCAACATCTCTCGATAACAATCACTCTCATCGCTGCTGCGATCAGTGTTGAAAACTCCAACGATGTGAGCGATGCCGTAGATGCCATCATCTCGAAACCGTGCACACAAACCGCAGAAGGTAAACAAAGAAGCAGAAGGGTGAGACGCCAAGAGAGCCAAGCCTGCGAGTGCGTGCAAGTGGACGCCGCGCAGTGGGCGGATGACATCACCAACCCAACAAACACAGCGGCCTTCTTGAATAGGGTGGATCTGAGGGTCCCGCAAATAAATCAATCTATGCACAAAACTATAGCGCCGTTTTTAGAAGAAATTTAGCAAAAATTTAGGAACATACAATGTGTCTTAGCAATATATGTATCTCATATTTTATTTTTGGCATGTCCTAACCCCTTTAGAAGACGAGAATTAGGAAGAAATAGGTTTGCAGGTAAATGTAGCTGTAAGCCCACTTTGAATGTAAGCAATTTCATAGAGTAGTCCCTCGCTATAAAAAAATCCCTTTTTTCAGATTATCGCTTTTCTCGAAGTTCAACGTGGTCCTGACTGAAATGCGCACATTTTGAACCGAATGATTTTAAGTGTATTGGCGGCCGACCACACTTATTACAGGGATGGAACTGGGCAAAGCAGCTTTAGAGCAATCTTGGGAGCAGAAAAAAACTACAGTTTGGAGCAGGCTGGGAGCAGCAAAAACGAGGTCTTGGAGCAAGTTGGGAGCAGCATACCAGTTTTAAGAATTAAAATAAAGGCTAAATGTCACATGGTTTTCAAAACTCAAGGAAATATGGCATGTAGATAACTCAATGTGAACTTAACAGTAGTTTGAATTAACATTTCATTTGAAACGCTTTTCACAAAATTACATGAAAATTAGACAAATCATATAAAGCAAAACTGCACGACAGAGTGACAAGTGATGGAACCGACTCGCAAAGAGGTAAATGTAAACAAAGAGGTATAAATAGCCTTCAGCTTGTACCTTGTTCCGTCACTGCTCGCTCTCCTTTGTTATGTTCCCAAGTTTTCTGCGTTGGGCCTCGGGGGCAGGCCAACATGGGCTGCGGGCTTGCAATTCACCTTTCCATAAAAACGTATTCGAGCGCGTTCATTGCGGTGTTTGTGTGTTATGCATGCGCAGTTTCTGGCTGGCTGCAATTGCAAGCGAGTGCTGGATGGACTGTGATTTTGCACGCGTCGACTGTGTTTTTTGTAAACAGTGGAAACGTCTATAGTCACGCAAGTACAGCCAAGAGGGAGGTGCGCCAACTTAAATAGATTTGAGTTGACTGCAATACGGCGATGCTGTTTGCTCCGCTATTCAGATGAAGTGACTCTTGCACTCCAGAAAAGCACACAATAACGGCAGCAGACGCAGCCGATGCTACAAGCACCAGCATGTGGCCTTGAACAGTGTTTGCACTGCACGAGCGTGCATTCTTGGCAGGGACACTGAAATTCCGGAGCTCTCGTTTGTAGCATCATCTTCATGTGGACTTGGATGAAGCAGGGCGACAGCGAATGGCTTCAAAGAGGTCTGGTAGCGTGAGCATCGCAATGAGAATGCTGTAACAACTATTTTAAGCTGAAACAAAGTATAACCATGGCAGCGACCTTCGGACACAGAGCTTCGGATTCGGATTCATCAAAGTTCCCTTTAGGCCGGAGTGTCTGATGTCAGTGTTGCCAACAAAAACTGTGAGACGGATAATTTAGACGATGCTCATTTATAATTTCAGTTTTGGCGCACCTTAGCACAAATTTGTTCTTATTTATACTTTTGTATCAGTGTGGCGCATGAAAAGTCATTAGGTGCACAATGGCGCTGCAGTTCCATCCCTGTTATTATGAAGGCCGATGTGCCGAAAGCCTACACGGAGGCGCACGGAGACCTTTGCATTTCCTCCCTTTCTTCCACCACGGAGCGGCGAAAGCAACGGACTTAAGAAGTCGTCAATAGTACCTTGCTTCAAGTTACACCTCCGTTTGTGTTCAGCCACTTTTTATTAGCTTGAGAACTGCTGTCTTCTTTTCTAAAGTTATGGTCAAGTAGTACTTTCAGTGCTTCGTGGTGACACTTAGTGGCGGCGGAATAACAAATGACGCCACAACGTCCAAGTCAGAGCAGTCAGAAAACATGATTCACCAAGATGAGATGAGAGGCGCAAGTCTAGGACTGCACAATGGCGAATGAACAAAGCAAAATGGTTACAATGATGATGATAATGACGCACAGCTAGAGAATAAAAAGCCGTAGCTTAGCGTTACCAAGCAGTAGGACTTAACAGTACTCGAGTAGCGCTGTCCAACCACGCCAATCCATGGGCAGTCAACATAGAATCTAAAATGGCGGCTTCCCAATAGTATTTCCCGCTGATCGCTCGCGACGATTTTGTCAGGGATGTTTAACTTCCAGACTTCAAGCTGTCCGAAACATTGGTCGTGAACATGCACTATTTCTATCAGGTAGGTCATGGTTCCTTCTTTAGGTCTGAAATATCGAACAAGTCTGAATTATCGGTGTCCGAAAAATCGATCGGTGACTGTACTGCTTATATCAAATTTATTTTGCCGTTCCGTTGACTTGGTATAACGAGGAATTACTGTATTCTGAAAGCCACCATTACAAAACAGAAAGGGTGGAGCAATAAAATTAATTATAGATCCTGTTGAGCCCGAGATGATCAGAGTAGAATACAGTTAGCCCAAATGCTTAATTGTTAGTTACTTTGAACAGTCAGAAAGGTATTGCAACAAATCAGCACACTGCAGTCCATTTGTGCAAAACCAAAAAGTAAAATGGGCTCTACGGATGTCACCTGTGATAGTCGGACGTATGCAAGCACAAACTCTGGACCCTGGCTGTTTCACATGCTGTACCTCGAAACTCGACAAAAAAAATCAGATGAAGTGTAGAGATTAATAAAAAGAAGTCACACGACCTTAAAGCTAAAGAGGTGTTTTTATTTTAGGTAAAACGAAAGAACACCGAAAGGACACATTGAGGGCAACTTTGCTCTAGAGTATAGACTGAGACTAGACCATGGGTGGCCAGGCTGACCCAGCCTAAGAGCCGCAAAAAAAACCACGAAACTTCCAAGAGTCGCTCTAAACTTTTGTTTAGAGCAATAAACGAAACTTGAACTACTTTCAGTCTATCCGAGTCAAAAGCAGTCCAACTATACGAAAGGTAGCAGTTGCACAAGACTACCAGACCGCAACCTGTCTTTCGATTTAAAACAAGTTTCATTTCTCTTTTTGGGGTTTCGGGGAAGTGGTCTTGTGACTGGGAGGGAGACGGGGGAGTGGGGGGGAGCCAAGAAAAAGAGCCACGAGCCACACTTTAACACGCGAAGAGCCGCATGCGGCTCGCAAGCCGTGACTTGGCCACCCCTGGTCTAGACCATGTCTCAAAGGACCTTGGCACACCCCCTCTGGTTGTTGGCACATTTTTGGGATATGCTTGGTATACTATTTTGGCACAGCATTTTTTTTATGGTGCCAAAGCTACAAAAACAAGCTTTGCTTTTCCAATCCTTAAAGTGTCAACTCTCCCACTTTTAGTAGACCAGCCTGTGATAAATTAATTTATTTATTTAGAAATACAGTACTGCAACATGTGACAAGGTTAGAGCAAGTGTGCTATGCAAACATAATTTCAAATTCAGTATAAATGTTAGGTGAGGGTGACCTTTGTGTATACCTTCAAATCCCGTAAGAATGCCCACCCACAAGGAAGACATACATGGTGAAAAATATGGGGAAAGCGAACTTGGAGGATGCAGCAACAAAATTTTATCCAGAAAGTAGTGACAAACACAGGAGCACTCCCTACAAACCATGTCACATGAGAACTGACACCCCAGATTGCGGGCATGGCAAATTCACGTTCCACGGTGCAATAAACACGCGAGAATCCGTTGCAAACTCCCATGTCACGGGATGTCATAAGAACCGATACTGCAAATGACGGATGCAGCAGATTCGGGTTTAATGGTGCAATAAACACATAAGAACCTGCTACAAACTCGCGTGTCACGGGAACCGGTATCGCATGCGCAGACTGCCACAAAAAAAAAAAGCAGGAACTCTCTTCAAACACGTATGTCATGGGACAATACCACAGACTGCAAACACAGCAGATTCCGATGCCACTGTGCGATAAACACATAGGAACCTGCTACGAGTTTGTTTCTCACACATAACAGTATCCCAGATTATGTGGCTAATGTGATTCCCGTCGGTGCGTGAGCGACGTTTCTGAATTTTCATGTTATGAATATTTAGTCCAAAAAACAGGATGGGCAATCTTTCGGGGGAGGGTATCCAAAAGGGATTTTACGGTACATCTGTCAACAAATCAGCATTAAAATAAACACTTTGAATGCACTCATACACTTAGGTTTATAAAACAAATTGAGCGAACTAATGGTTAACAAACATAAGAATAATATGCCCAAGTGGCTTCTCAACTTGCCAGCCCCGCCTGTCCTGCCTGCGGGCCACTCGACACTCACTACCATTCCCTTTGTGAATGACCCCGCAGACCCATACCACCCTCTTCCCTCCCATCACCTTTGGGAGCAGATGTTGCGCGACCCGGAGGAGCCGAGCCAAATCCTGACCACCCAACGGGCCTTAGCAGTCGCGGCAGCCCTCTGGGCCTCCACCACCCCCAATACCTGATCCCGGAAGACTAATAAAGTTTCCTCCTCCTTCTCAACTTGCAGCAAGCTGTTGGGCTTTAGAAGAAGTTTCTGAATTCATACAAAATTTGTGAGGCTTCAGAAACTGAGGCTTCAGAACAAGTTCTGAAGCATATAGAAACTTGCGAGGCTTCAGATCTGACAAGTTCCTGAAGCCTCAGGGAAACTTGCAATGCTGAGAAAGAACTTGTTCGCATAGACAAAATGTGTCAACGGAAGGAATGCCCAAGAAACAAAAAGTGTCAGAGACCTGCCGGGTTCCAGGAGCAGAGAATCATCCTGCGGTCATTGGGGTTGGTCTTGATGGTCTCGATCAGGTTCTTGATCTGGTCCACACCCTCGTCCCCGTAGTCCGTGCGCATGGTCCGGTAAGGAGCTCCAAAGTGCCTCCACTGGAATCCGTAGACCGGGCCAAGGTCTCCTGAACGAGTGTCGAATCAAACGTGGAGGCTGACAATCCACCTTTCTCGAATGCCAGCAGACAAAGCTGGTCTGCCACTTTCCCCTTCCTCTAAAACATCAAGTGGGGCATTGTGAGCTCCTTTCGGCCATTTAGAAACATTTCCCAGCACTATAAAAACCTCATAGTCATTGTGGCCTCAGCTCATGTCACAAAACTATCTATATACATATTTAGGAAAGTCGTAACGTGGGCCCGTCCGAAGCGAGCCGAGCCACAGCCGCCAAATGCAGCTTGTACCGTTGATTCTCCGTAGCTCGTGTCGAGTAATTGTGGATCATGCATGCTCCTGCCTCGCTTGCTACGCGAGGCGGGAACAGCTATGCGGCCGGCACCCAATGCCGTTCACTACAGTTATGTCGAGGGTTCCGTGTTTTCTGAAAATATTGGATAAACTCCTAACACTAACCCTCGAGCCCGTTTTATCAAAATCAGAAAAAAAACAAAAAATCCTGAATTGGAGCTTGTCTTGAATAAGGAAAATCTAAGCCTAACAGGCTACAGCTTTATCTTGTGTTGACCCGAAACAGAGCTCTCGTTGAAGTCTTTCTTCGAGAACCACGCCAATTGTCTCGTCTCCTCCTCTCATCTGTATCGGGACGTTTCTCAAGTACCCAAGTCACACACATGTTCCCCGAGAATTGGAGAGTCTCATGTCTGTGTGCCGTTTTCTTTAACAAAACCCAAATAGACACTTTTTTTTTAACTGATGCTTTAAAATTTGTGGGGACTAATAAACCTCCCAAAAATACCCTAACATCGGAGAAAAACAAACACACAAAACACGGGACAGCTAGTTACATTGTACGTCGCTGAAACAGCTTAAGTGGCATACGTCTCTCCGGTACCCCGCTGCCACCCATGAAACAGCGATGCCAAAACCAAAAAGTTTGCAAACTATAACTTGCACAAAGACATCAGTCAGAAACACACTTGCAAACCAGTATCAACAACAGAAAGACAGGAAGATACATGCTCGTTGCTGTCCCGTTCATTCCTATAATGTTTCTTTTAGACCAGTTTATGCGCCACTGCCATGTTCCTTACGTTCTGAGTCACTTAGCTTTGCAACGGCAATCCTGCGCACAAACTGCATTGCTCTCGGCTGTAGTAAAACAATTTTTGTCAAACCTGAAAAGCCCAGAACATGCTTTACACAATGGCTCCTATTGTTTCACATAGCTCACATCATTACCCAGACAGGCTCTTTCAGTTAGACCCAACCGTTGGTATTGCTAGCTCTGTTGATGCAGCTGCTTGTGTAACCAGATTTATGTATTAGTATGATTGATTTGTTTTATTTGATGATTTACATTTACCATCACTTTCTGATTCAACAGAAGAGACAGACCAACCCATGGAGGCGGCCATAGCAGTCATTCTAAAGAATAACTAGTCAGCTGTATTGTTAGATCATACTGCATCTACTCGAGTAATAGCCGCACTATTTATAAACAAAGCCGTTGCGTCTACTTTCCCACAGAACACATATACAGCCAATCATTGCGTTGCACATAAATATCATAGCGAATAACCAGATTGAGAACACGATTCTCCATACAAATGCGATCTTTACAGACAATATCTTCACACTGACACCGTTATCTCTGTACTGTAAACAACTGGAATCATGCTGTCAATCGCGGTGATTGGCAACCCGCTTGCTCTGCGGAAAAGCGAACCCTCAGGATTTCTTCATAAACAGTGCGGCTATTACTTGAGTAAATTTGGTATATAGCTGATCATGAAAATCTGTCTTCGGATTAATTACTATGGAAAATCATTTATCTTGTTCACTATGTAAACCGTAATATCCTGAATGAACGCCCACCTTTTCGCGAGAGATAACTGGGAAAAAAAGGTGGGAGCGTGAACCTTCGAGATTTGCCCATCTGCCTTTTCGAAAGAATGTTTTATTATTGCGAAGTTCGTTGCTTGCATACACGCAACGAATACTGCCGATTGGCATACAGCGCAAACGCTTGTTTCGTGAAAGCAGGTTTCTTACACTGCTATGTTCCCTTTGTTAGGCTCCTTAGCCTTTGCTGATTTGTAAATTCAAAAATGAATGGAGTAAAAAAAAAGAAAAAAAAGAGTCAACGAGAAAATAAAAAAACCAACCAAGTGCAACTGGCAAGGGAGCAAGCAGGCAAAAGAAACCACGAAGAGCGATGCTGGGGAAGCTTTAAAGCCGGCGATTGCGTTGGCAAATACTTTGGCGTCGGGCACCTTGGGAATCCTAAGGGCAGGCTCTTGTGCAACTTTCTAGTTTGGTGCATACATGCATGCATCCGGAAACTTCTGGAAAATAGTCTACCCCAGGTGTCCCCAGTTTTTTCGGAATTGCTACTTTTGGAAGGTGGGCAATATATCAGGATTTTCTTTGACAGAGATATTTTTACATAAAAGTGGGGTGGGCCAAAATTCAAGGGTAAGAGTATGTTCAGGATATTATGGTAGTTTGCCCTCCTCAAGCGTAGAAGGTTTAACTAAACTGCATGATCATATACTGAAGCACTCTAAAAGTTGGTCAATTTTAGCCTGTGACTTTAAGGGGGGACATGGGCCAAAATTAAAATTTTTTTCATAAAAACTCATTTTTCAATTTTGAGGTTTTCGGTTTTAGAAACCAATTATACACCCTGAGACTAATTTCATAACCATACGCCAAACAGTTACGTTGATATAAAAATATTTTCACCACATTGGAGGCACTAACAATGTAAAGGAGTTCACTGTTTGAATGCAGTTTTTTCAGTTCCACTTTTTGCTGCAAATTTTGTACGAAGGAACGCTTTGTTCGAAGGTAAAAGTATTTCGTTACCACAATCAAGATTTTTCTGAACTGAAATTTACTGGGGAATTGGGCTATCTACTTAATTTTGTTTTAAGTTGAAGTCTTCACTAAGAAAATCCTATGTTTTCAAAAATTGACATAGGACAGATATGCATCTCATATTTTGAGGTAATCACTCTTCCTGAAATATCTACATTAAAGTTATAAAAACTAGATAGCCCGAAGTTCCACATCCCCCACTTTATATTGTACCAGTCGAAATGATGCTTAATAGCTTCATTTGCATATCATAGATTTCTTAACAAAGAGTGACACATCTTCTTATGCAGAAATCTAAAGTTGTCCGAGAGAGCTGAAAGTTTGCACAGTAGGCCTACAGCTGACGTTAAATCTCCCCTGCAAATTTCATTCCGATCACTTGAGTAGTTCAGAAGTTAAAGGGGCGATGCAACAATTTTTGTACTTTGCGCAAATACTGCTTAAAACGGATCCCTGACATTAATGACCTATGAAACACACGTTTGTCTTTCACCCCACGCAATACAAGTTCCGGAAAAAAATTAAAGAAAAACAAGCACCATTCACCCCCTCAACTCGCAGCCAGAGCAAGCGGCCACCTGTTCTGGAGCCGATTATATGCAGCCAATGTTGATCATAGCCACGCGCTGGGGTTGGCAAAGCACAGGACACGCGCTGAGTTCCAGACATTGTTATGGCTCGGCTATTGTCGTCGTTGCAGCGATTGGACACAGACCACTACCCGAATGCTTCTCGAGCTAGTAATTATCACGAGCCCAAATCGAGCGCCCACGCAATGCTCGAGTCCAATCTATAAACCGCATTCAAATATCGTAATATGGGGTGTACTGCGATACCCACGTTACGTCATCAAATTTTGCAGAGGAGAGATTGAATGAAAATGATCGATTTTGTCCTTGAAATTACACCGCAACAAAGGAGCTTCTTGGACAGTGGCGTTGCGTGTGAGTATCCTTGAGTCCCAGGTGTGCCAGTAAGCTCGTGTAAAGTGAAAAACATTCCAATTGAATATCGTTGCACTGCTCCTTTAAATCTCTAGCCAGTGTCCCCTCTTAACTAACTTATCGACTGACCTAAAGTCGACTGAGATAATTTGTCGTCTGTCTCAGCCTGTGACCAAACCGTCCTTGGCATTATGTTTGCCTGCAATCTTTGTCAAGCCTTTGATGTTCCCACGCAAATGCAGGGTACTCCATCCTCCATTCTAGACCTTGTGTTTAATAGGTCACTTTATGATGTGCATGCAACAGCTGAAGACAGTTTGTCCGACCATAAACTTGTTTCTTTCACACGCTATAGGGCAGCTTGAATGACCCTGTAGCCCAGAAACGAAAAACCACAAAGGAGTTTTCTAGGGCTGACGATGAGTGTGTCCAGGGTTACCTGGAGTTATCTTTAGATACACTTTCTGGAAACAATGTAATTATTTGTAGAAGAAATTTCAATCTATCTGTCATTTTTGCCTTCGAAATTTCATATGCAATAAAGCCAAAAATGTGCATTGTAAGAACCCTTGGATCACATGCAATATAAATTAACCAGTGCAGAAAGTAAAACAAAATACAAGGTGTAATGCAAATAAACAGTTTTATCAATCCAATATGCTTACACAGGGCAACTTCAGACAATAGTTTTTAACTGAGGATTACGACTGTTTTCAGCTAAAACCTGAACTACTACATGGCATAATTTTTTTTTTCAATATTGTGTGCAGTTTTATAAATATCACGGCTCAAAGTGCAGTGTCGGGCGTCTACGGCAAAACCGAAACTAACTGCTAGAGGGATGGCAACACTGCTCATCAGCCGTACAGCCATGTTGTGACATCACAAGGATGCTGCAATACGCAGTGCAATCAATTGACCACAGTTCCACCGCGAGGTGAAGTCACAAGGAATCTGCGCCAGTGTTCCTTGACTTAAATCTACTTGCTTGCTGCCCGCCAAAGAGCAGCTGGTCGTATCTTTAAAATCGGTTCTAGTGGAGCATGTCGCTTCACTTTGACGTAATATTTTGGCTGCAATCATATTTCGTGTCGCTAAAGTGATACCAGTCATTCATTTTGGTTTCGTTTTCGACCGGAGTTTCCCTTTAAGGTGCTACCAAAACACAAATGGAAGGAAAA